CATTATAGCTTTTCTTTTCAGATATTCTCTCAACTTATAGGTTACGAAAAACAAAAGCATTACTTGAATTGGAGCAGCGAACACCTTTAGAAATCGTCTATTCCAGCACCTAACTTAAAAATAAGGAAAATGAGGCTCCATGTGTTAGAGGGTTTGCCAAAGATTCTTCAGGTAGCTAAGACCTAACTCCACGTCTCTCCATTGGCTGCACACGTCTCTACTTGCTTGTTCTTGCCTGTGGCTCTTGGTCATGATCACCTTAAACTGAAACTCAGTTAAAATTATTTTGGAAAAGCTAGCTGACCATCAGGGGGGAAAAATCAGTAAATAAATATGACTCTATACCTTATTTCTTACATTAATAATTTGAGATTAATCAGATGTTTCAATATTACAAATGAAATAAAAAGTATTGAAAACAAGAGTGCATATATTTTAAAGTCTTAAGGGTATAGAAGACTCTTCTAAAAATTATATAGAACAGGCTAAATACATCTGACAAACATTTTAAATATTCATATGTGGAAAATGAAAACATAAGTAGAGCTGAAAGACAACTGACAAATCAAGGGGGGGTTGTATTGTTTATGACAAACTAAGACTTTAAAATATTAGAAACTTGGAAAAGTCAATAAGAAAAATATCTTTATTAATACCTTTTGGTTCATCCATATTGAGTTAGATTATCTCTTATTTACAGTAAAAAGCATCTTTTTTAAAAATATATATTTTATTGATTTTTTTACAGAGAGGAAGGGAGAGGGATAGAGAGTTAGAAACATCGATGAGAGAGAAACATCGATCAGCTGCCTCCTGCACACTCCCCACTGGGGATGTGCCCGCAACCAAGGTACATGCCCTTGACCAACGCTCTATCCACTGAGCCAAACCGGCCAGGGCAGTAAAAAGCATCTTTTTTTTTTAACTTTACGACATTCTTTTAGTAAAAAGCATCTTATATGTATATCAAAATCACCACCTTATATACCTTAAATTACACAAGGTCATATGTCAATTATATCTCAATAAAGCTGGAAAAAAATAATCACCATAATGAATACGTGATGGAATGCAGATGAAATAGGCAATTCACAAAAAGAAATGTAAATAGCCATTCAATATGAAATATGTTCAATCTCATGAATAATTAAATATAGGTTAAGCTGCAAAGAGAACTCCTTGCATATTGTGCTGGTGAAAACGGAAAGGCTGACAGTCCTGGTGCTGGTGAGAGACCGTCCCTTGTGCACTGTGGGTGGAAATGTGATTGAGAGAGTGTGTGGGCTATGTGTAGCATTCGTTAGAGGTCCTTTCTCTTTGACAGCAAACTCACTTTCAAGAATTTGGCTTATGGTGAAATTCTTACTCGTGAAAATACGTATGACAAGCAGAGTGACCACAGCATGCTTATATCAAGAAGGGAAGAAAAGATGGGAGAGAGGGTGTGAAGGAAGGAAGAAGTCAGGGAAAGAAAATACTCATCAGCAGGGACTGGTTAACTATGGTACTCAATACTGAAAATCATGAGGGGTTTTATTTATTTTTTTAAAAATAAGTTTACATTCATGTCAGAGAGAGGAAGGGAGAGGGAGAGAGAGATAGAAACATCAATGATGAGAGAGAATCATTGATTGACTGCCTCCTGCACACCCCCTACTGGGGCCTGGGCCCACAACCCAGGCATGCGCCCTGACCAGGAATCAAACCGTGACCTCCTGGTGCATGGGACAATGCTCAACCACTGAGCACACTTGCCAGGCACAGAGGGATGTTAAATGATGTCTTAAAGCACATTTATTGGAAATAAGGAAGCAGGTTATAGACTAGCATTGCCGTGTGATCCCACTTATGTAAAATTTTACATGCATATATATGCATGGATGCACAAAATATCTGGAAGTTCATTAAAATTTTAACAGGTTAATTTATGGGATGAGGGGTGCTCCTTTTCATAGTTTTATTTTCTGAACTTTTCCATATTATTTGAATGTGTAACAAGCACATATCTTTTCCTAAAAAATATTAAAACCTTTTTCGAAACTTAAGCTGTTGTGTTTTTAAAGAACCCACATTAAAGCAGAAGACATGGCAGCATCTGCCTTGTTTCCTTCCCTCTTCCTCTTTCTTATGTGAATCCTGACTTTGTTCAGAAAGCCATCTTCCCCCTTGTGGTCAATGTTCCCATTCCTTGTTCCTGGTAAGTCCAAGGCTCTAGGCCTTGCTAAGATTGGCCAGGAACCCAACCTAGGCCACTCAGCACATACCATTCCCCCAGCAACTGTTTTGTTCCAGGGATGGACATGTGACAGAAATTGACCCAATCAGATAAGAGAGAACTTTTATTCTATGTTGGAGAAGTTCTCTCTCTCCTACTTTATATGGGGGTGGGGGAGGGGAGCATACCCCTTCCTTACTGCCACCTGCAGTCCTGCAAACCTGAGGGAAGCTGACTCGACCCAACGCATGGAGGGGAGCAGAGGAAAACAGAATTCTATTGGGGGAGGGGGCATGGCTTTGTTGTAATTTTTTCAGATTATAAAGTAAACTATGCTCATCGTAAAAAATAACAAAATGTATAAATAAAAAATAATAAATACAAAATAACTAAAATGAAACCTATTTATAATAGTATCAAAAAGAGAACATCATAGTCAACAATTCAGTGTGTTTCACTTTGTCTTTTTACAATGATACAATGATTTTCAAAACTGCAATCACAATGAATATACATTAAGTCTTGATTTTTTTTTTAGTCAACATCATGTATTATGAGTTTTCCCCACTTTAAGTATTTCAACAGAAGACATTAAGTTGATGCATAATGTTCTGCTGCAAATATGTATAATAATGTTTTAACCATCTCATCTATGAATTTTGTAATTTAGTAAGTAGTTATCAAATTACTGTGAATTAATAATGTGTAGAAATTTTACAAATAAAGGATAACAAAGAATACTTTCTACATAAAAATAGCAATATATAATAGAAAAGTGTAATTGTTGAAACTATATTGCTCATTGGGTGGGGTTGATTGGAATAAAGTAAATAGCCCAGAAATAGTGTTAAATAAAAGCAATATTACAGGTGAAATGTTCTTTAAACACAAAGAATAAGACCCAGAAATTAGCATCTGCTGCTCATGTCTAAGCTGAATAATCTAAATGAGCTGGCGGGGGGGGTGGTAAATAAATGATGGTACAGCCTCATTTGCCTTTGAAACTTACCACACTGATCCACATATAGTCATAAAAATATTTTTAAGACAAAGTTGAGAGGAAAACTGAAATCCTGGACCAATAAAAAAAAATCAATAAGTAAGTTATAAATGTTGTTTGTGGTTACGCAAATACAGAGGAAGTCATTCCATAGGTAACTGCTGGAACGGGAAGTGGGGGGCAGGATGAAGGTGATAGGGTCTTTCACTTTTGACTGTTCTCTATGCTTTCTTATTGTTGGAGTTCTGACAGCAAGATTTTTGCAATTTTAAAAGAAAAAAAATTATATTGTTTTTGTGTGTGTGGTTGTTTTTTTTAATCCATAGCTTTACTAATGAGTGAGCAATGTCTGGGGCAGACAGTTGGGGTACTGTTTCCGCAGAAATGCCCAGGCATCATGTTTCAGGCGGCCCGCGTTTGGGGAAGGATACTTAATCTCTGACATTTCCTAAATTGCCTCACCATTCAAAAAAACTTCACAATCACATAGAAAATTATAATTTTATCTCATTGACATTTCGTGGGTGCTTTTGAGCAGAGCAGTTGATAGAGGTAAGTAGGCCGGTGTATACTTGAGGGAAACCTACCTGTCAATGAACGATGAATCTTCAAACATAAAAGATACATGACATGCAAAAGCGAAGATTTCCTGGCATAGGTACCTACCCCGCCAATGGGACAAGTGCTGTTGGCGTTATCACAGGACTCTCCCGTGTTGGCGCACCATGGGCCGAGAATATTGGGGGACACATCTCCTAGGTTTGATGAAGCAAAGGCTGCTACAAACGGCCCCTGCCAAGAGAAACAGCAGTTGCCTTTTATTCTTTCTTCCCCACGCCTCCCATTCAAAACGCAAACATTCCATCTGCTTCGGTGAACTATCCAAAACCATTTGCACACAATAAAAAGGAGGGTGTACATACAATAATCTAAGGAAATGCTTTACTCTGGAAAAGGCTCCCAGTACAGTCAGTGTTCCTGTTGTTACTCGTGACTTTCCAATTATCAATAGAGCGGCTTGAAGCAGGACACTTTCAAATTTGTGCCTCAAGCAGAAGCACGCTGACAAGGAACACAGTGCGCAACAACAAGTTACAAAAGGCTGACACGTCAATTTTGCCGCTGGTGTTGAATCTAGAGATCCAAGATGCATTTGCCCTTTAAAAATACATATTGTATTGGCTTTAAAAGAGAGAGCCAATCCAGACTTTCCTGTTGTGAAACTGAACCTAAATACAGTATCCACCATCCATGCATCGTTTCTCTATCTCTTCAACCTGAAGTAACAATGCGTAACCTTTTAGAGTGGTACAAGGCAGTAACCTCAAGCCACTGTCCTGCCATTCTGTCCTTTTTTCTTTTTTTTTTTTTGCTTGGAACTATTCCAAGTGGCTTTTTATTGCATTTATTGAGGTGACATTGGTTAATAAAATTATATAGGTTTCAAGTGTATAATTCTGTAATACATCATCTGTATATTGTATTGTGTGTTCACCACACAAAATGGTTCTTGAAGCCATCAATATAGGTAGTGTTTGACACAGTTTATTGGTCATTTTGAATTTTTCTTTTCCTACTAGGTAAGATGAATTTTTTTTTATACAAGTATATCAGTATGTGATGCCCATACTGACACTTTACTCTGAAAACTTGACTCAGCTATTTCGAATATTGCATGAGTGATGATACTCAATGAATTAAGGTGAAGTTTTCAATAACACAAATTCTTACCTGTCCAGGTAAATGTCCTTTGTTCTTCTCTTGCTCAAATAGGTAAGATGCATAGCCCATATTGTCACTATTGACAAGGTGATTGCTGTTGTTCATGCTGACAGGGTGGATGGCAAACCAGCTGTAACAGAGCAAGAAGCCTAAATTAATGAAGAAAATCAGATAACGGGGGCCAAAAAGGATGACTGGGATTTCTGTTAAGTTCTCCCCAACGGAAAAAAAAAATACTTAATCATAGGCATTCACATTTAGGTGCTTTCATTGTTAATGAGCTTACATTACTAATAATATACTTAAGAAGTCTGATCATTGACTTAAATGTAAAATACAAAACTATTTTTATGAATATTTCTTCATCATCATCAGCAGCAGCAGCAGCAGCTTTTAACAAGAGCCAAGGTTGGTCAGTTATCAGATGATATACCTAAAGAACTGTATGACATAGACTTTGTCCTTCAAGAAGGCACACATATGATAATTATTCAAATCAGTCCAAACGAATTCAACAGACACTTACTGAGAGTCTGCTGTGTGCCAAGCCCTGAATAAACTGCAGTTTGCTTTCAGAATCTTCCAGAAGACAAAGATGTGAACAAACGCCCTTACTACAGTGTGATGAAGGTTATAAAGTGTTTGGGGACCACAGATGACGAGCAATTCATTCTTAAGGGCATCCCAAGGAGAGAGAACAGCAGAGTAATGGCATGGAGGCATGAAAGAGGATGGTACGCATAATTCAATATAGCCTCCTGCACGATAATAGCTTACGTGTAGAGCTATATAGTTTACAAATTAACATCACATCTGTTACTTTATTTGAACTTCACAACAACCCTGAGAGATAGGCTGTTAATACCTCCACTCTGCAAGGTGTCTCAGAGAAGCAAAACGGTGGCCCACTTGCCATAGGACCAAAACTCAAGTTTGGGTCTTGTGACACCTTGTCCAGTGGCCTTTGTAGATCAAACCTCCACACGGTGAAAAAGAAACTTACAGAATGAAAGGCTGCAAAGCAGATGAACTGGAATGATCAAGACAAGAGACATGCCAATTCATAAAGTTTTAAGCTAATTTAGGATTTTTAAAAAAGATTTTTTTGATTTAATCCTTCACTGAAAACTTTTGAAACATTTCAGCTTCCATTCCTACCTACATGATACAGGGCACCAAACTGAACATTGACATAATGACTGAGGATGTTTTTGGACGTGAAGGTCATCACTTAGGATTCAGTCCTCATTGCCCAATAGTTGTATATGTAGGTCAGAGGTGGCCAGCATAACGCCCATGGGGGCTGGGTAGGCAACGTCAGTGAGGTGAGCTGGTTGGTGCAACAGGGACTATTGAGAACTGTGGGGGTCTTAGGCACTCGCAAGACAAGAGACATGCCAGTTCATAAAGTTTTAAGCTAATTTAGGATTTTTAAAAAAGATTTTGTCGATTTAATCCTTCACTGAAAACTTTTGAAACATTTCAGCTTCCATTCCTACCTACATGATACAGGGCACCAAACTGAACATTGACATAATGACTGAGGATGTTTTTGGACTTGAAGGTCATCACTTAGGATTCAGTCCTCATTGCCCAATAGGTGTATATGTAGGTCAGAGGTGGCCAGCATAACGCCCATGGGGGCTGGGTAGGCAACGTCAATGGGGTGAGCTGGTTGGTGCAAGAGGGACTAGTGAGGACTGTGGGGGTCTTCAGGCACTCGCACGCGGGAAGGGCGACAGTCTCACCATGTGCCAGCTGCGAGTGTGAGCCAGGGCTGCCAGATCTTGCAAGAGAAACCACAAACCTTATTTTTGTGGAATATTTATCTACTTAAAATTTCTTACAGACAGAAATGCATGGAAACAAAGGAGGGGAATAGTTACAAATTGAAAGACTTAGGACACGTAGCCAACAAATAGCATTTGTAAACTGTGCTGGGATACTGATTCAAACAAAATAACTATAAAAGACTTATTAGGACCTAATAGAAGGTGACAGGAGAAGATCTGGCTTTGGTGGTGGGCACAGGGTACAATATACAGATCTTGTAACATAGAAACCCATATCTAAAACCTATATGTTTATGTTGACCATTGTCACCCAATGAATATTTTTAAAAAGGCTTATTGATGCAATCAGGAAAATGAAACATGGGCTGGGTTTTAGATCCTATTAAGGAATTAATTCTAATTGTGTTGGCTGTAATAACAGATTATAATTATACTTTTAAAGCATTTATCTGATACTAAAATATTGATGAGTGAAAAAATATGTCTAGCATTTGCTTTTAAATACTCTAGCAAAACACACAAATAAAAAGGAGAAGAATGAAATAGAATGGCAGAATATTGCTAATTATTGAGCTGATTGAATATTGCTAACTATTGAGCTGATTAATAGTTATGTGGAAATTTATTAGACTCTAAATTGGTATATATTTGAAACTTTTCATAATAGTTTCTTTTTTATCTTGACACCCACTTCAATTTTTTAAAAAAACAGTGTAAGGCCTAATCACCAGCCAGTAGGATTAATTCAATGCCTATAGTATATATTTGCCACTGTGCAAAACGACAGAGTTTTAGGCTGAACACAGTTCAAAGGTCATCCCCTAGAACTTACTTGCAAGGTTTCTATATTTTAAAAAACCCTTACATTCATTTCTATTTTGTGGTTTGTCTCTTTCTCCTAAAACTTAAGTGCCAAGAAAATTCTACTCTAGTAGTGTTTTCCAGTTAGCTGGAGTCTGCTTTTCTGTTTTATTCCATTTGAAAATGGGGTGGTGGCCATGACAAGTCCATGACTCCCCAGCCAAAGTATTTCCATCTAACACAATCACACTGAGGCCGGCCAGACCACAGCCTCTCCAGTGCAATTGAAGGAAAACTGTAGAACAAGTCTATCAGCGCTATCATTTAGCATGCATGAGGTGAAGGATTTTCCAAACAGGATCTCAGTTTATCCTTACCAAGAACCTGTGGAGTCAGATGCTGTCATTATCCTCATGTGACAACCAATGAAAAGAAGTCTCAGAGGGATGACATAACCTGACCAAGGTCACCAGGTGCAAGTCAAGAAGCAGCATATGCATCCAGGTTTGTTAGACCATAAAGCCCACGTTCTTATCTGCTATGGGATACTGACTCTGTCCCTCTGTTCATTCACTTTCTCATTTCAATGCACATTTCATAACTTTGACTCTGTGCCAGATGCTGGGGACATAGAGATGAATGAGGCATCATCGTGACCTTAATAAATGCTTCGTGGAGGATCTGACATTTGAGCTGGATCTTAAAAGATGAGTAGCCGAAGCTGGTTTGGCTCAGTGGATAGAGCGTCGGCCTGCGGACTGAAAGGTCCCAGGTTCGATTCCGGTCAAGGGCATGTACCTGGGTTGCGGACACATCCCCCACTGGGGGGGATGATTGAATATTGATGTATATGTAGGTCAGAGGTGGCCAGCATAACGCCCATGGGGGCAGCTGATCGATGTTTCTCTCTCATCGATGTTTCTAACTCTCTATCTCTCTCCCTTCCTCTCTGTAAAAAATCAATAAAATATATTTTTTTAAAAAAAGATGAGTAGGAACTTGGAAGGGGGAGGTCACTGGAGAAAAGTCATTCATTGCAAAGGCATGCAGGTGGGACGAGGGGCAATGTGTCCAGATAACGGATAGCCACAGTGGCCAGAGCAGAACACATAAGGAAAAGAGAGGAGATGGTTGTGCCATTCATTCAATCAACATGAACTTATTAGTAACCACGTGTGTGTCTGGCATTGCATTAAACCCCAAGGAACACAGAGAGGAATGAGCTGAGTTCTATACCATCAAGAAATCACAAAAATGCCTGTGGAGAAGGTAAATGCTAAGAATTTTGGTCTACTAATTAGACTACAAACTTGAATTCTTATTTATTTCATTGAGTTATTTTCATTTACTTTAGCCCTTATAAAATTAATTGAACTTTTTCTCTATAAAAAAAATTAAAAAGCATTCAAAAAAGTTACTTAAATATCAGAATAAGAAGATGCTATGTATTTTCTTCGCTGTCCTTTGAAATATGTGCTATTGAAATATCAGGCTTGTCACAGCAACCAAAGTACTGTGGTAATAGTATAAATTATGAATATGTATAAAGATATGAACAAAGGTGGTCATTTCAAGTTAAGAAGGCTGTACTCGCAACTTCTTTTATCTGGTCAGAAATATATTCATCAAAGCAAAGTTCAAAAGAGAGGAAGAAAGGTGTAGGTAGTTTCAAAAGAAATCAGACTACAGACATAAAAGGAGGACTATGTCCCTGTTCATAAACATTGTAAAATAATGATTATGGCACAGCTGGGATGTACAAGAGGAAGCAGGGCTCGACTTGAGTCAGCCTGACCCAAGCAAGGTACTGAGGAAAGACAATAGAGTTGATATTTTACCCTATTTAGTAGCAAAGTTAGTTAAAATTTCTGAGTCTCTTTTCCCAAGACTGAAAATAATACATTTCAACTATGCTATGTGAAACAATAAACACCAAATTATTATAGGATATAATTATTTTCTCATCTGATGTTATGGAGGCATTTGAAGCAAAAGATTTCTAGGGCCTCTTTCAATGTGGACATTGTGTGCTTCCTAATTTGAAACAGAAAAAAAAAGCCAAATGCAAAAATTGAGCTTCTAATTCTAAATACTATTTAATTCTAAAATAGTAACAAACCATCCTAGGTTCCATTCTGCCAAATGCAAAAATTGAGCTTCTTAAATATTCTAAAATAGTAACAAACCATCCTAGGTTCCATTCTCCCAGGCCTGGGCCATCATGTCCCACATGCAGAAAGGTGACTGACAGAGCAGTTAAGTGGAAGCTGAAATCCGGCCGCTGCTCTGATCACCTACCTGGGCACCTCGGTCAGCCCAGGGAAGGGAACACCTGTGTGTGATTTGCATCAAGGTCCTATGTGCTAGCTGTCACCCTCTACTACCTAAATGTCCACCAATGGGGAAAGAGAATATTGTACATCCATCCATTCAAAGGAAGTGTTTATGAACATGGGAGTTCCATGTAATAACAAGGGAGCTTGTTGGGTAAATACAATAGAGGAAGCTGTACTCAGTTGAATAGAACCCCCCCTCC